TTTACCTAACTAACCAAACGATATATCGAATAATCGATGTATCGATCAATATTTTCAGTCGGTTGTTTGTGCCAACAGATATGGAAGTGTACCCCTAATAATAATAATGCTTAAGGCAAAAGCCTACCTTAGTAAAGTTTTCTTCTGCTGAATAACCAGTCCCTATGTTTAGAGTCAATGAGTCCACAACGGCGGACATACCGTACTTTACTTTGGGTAAAACCACGGTAAAACTTAGTAACTACGAATTAATCAATTAGCGTTTTATTTTTGATAGAATACAAAGCATAACATATTCAAAAATGTTACTTAGTTTAAGTGCAAGGTTTTATAGTCATAACCTAAAGGTAAAGATTTTGTTGACACCACCAAATACCACATGTAGAATAGAATGTGGATGTCTGTCGTCTGTCTGTCTGTCTTCTTGGCAATATTGGTAATCTCACTCAACGACAAGTGGCAGGTTTTAGTTTTGTACCATGCAACTCCGAGCTATTAAATGTTGTTTGATTTGTTATAGCATTGATTATCACATGGTTGAGTTTTCTTCAGTATTTTTAATGACAACAATTTACCATAAACGTTGTTGATTGGATTAAAATAAAATTAACGTACTCCAATCTACTATAAATTCAGTTTACTATCACAGCACTATATCGGTATATCAGTTTCAATGCTGCTTTATACATTACTGTAATAATTAATTTTCCATACTGAGTATTGATTTCCGTCCAGTAAGTCTGGACTGGTTAGATTTTAAATTTAATTGTCGACGTTTTCTCCAAATATGAGGTTTCCATGTTTGCTTTGAATCTAAATGGATAGGTACCAAAATATATATAAAGTATTTTTAGCCTCGTCCACCGGAAGTTGCGGATTATTTATTGTGACAGGAGGGCAAACATTTCGATTTAGAGTAAATAAGTCAATAAGTCATTTATTTGGCAAATTAACAAATACAATTTGCATAAGCTTTTGTCAATACACTGAATACAACCATAGAATAGATAAAACATACTACCCATTATGTTTTATCTATGATACAACTTTGGCAACTCAAAATGTATACCTTTATAACGAGTGGTCGATAATAATTGCTAACATTTTGTTTTGTGACAGCACTGACAGCTCAGCTAATTCATCGGTTAGAGAGATGATTTGAATGGTTCCTTAATAGCATATTTTTTGTAAATAAGTTGTCCAAATTATTCAACATATCTATGGAAGTGGCGTAAAAAATTAATAATGTTTACATTTTTTTGTTTTTTGCAATTGAAGTAATAAACAAAAACAACGCTGTGTAACAATTAATTACAGTTTATTTATTAAAACTCAAAGAAATTCATGAATTTGAGTTTTAACATCTGAATTATTATTTGAGTTTTATTAAACTACTGTAATTGTTATTTTACACAGTAAAAAACCAACAGTACACAGTAAATACACAGTACATTACAGTAATTGTTATTTTACTGTATTTGTTATTTTTTAATTGTTATTTCTTTTGCGCTGTTTTTTTTATTACTAACTTCACACCCTCAAATAAACATTTTATAGATTTTACACATTATTTATTTTTTATGCCACCTACATTAGACAAGTAGAATTAGTTTGAACAACTTAAAATTTAAAATACCCCCGCCGCAAACTTGCAGACTAAGCGAATTTCCATTTGACTGATTTGATTTACACTGAAATGTCTACTTAAAAATATAACATTTATTCCTGATTTAAATAGAATTAGTTTAACAAGTACCGTACTTAGGTTTACTGTTTACTTGTTTGGGAGGGTAAAACTGTTTTTTTTTGTTTTTTTTTTTGTAAAATGTTAATAGTTAGTAAGAAATAAAAACATTTTCCAAATTTGATCAAAATATGTTCATAAATAAGCAAACTACAACAGTTATATTTACTTATTCTCCATAAGAATAACATGGGAATTTTAAATTTACAATTTTTTGGAATTTTCTCCGTAACCATTAGGCGCATAATAACGCTTCAATATACTAAATAATTTTTTTTTAAGCTCTACAAAATGGTTTGGAAAGAAATTGCTAAATTTGATGGTTTCTGGGTAAAAAATGGGAAAAACCTATTTTTACCCCATAAAACCCCCCGTAAACCCCCGTTCACATGTTCCGATCATGCTGGATCGCAAACTCGTTCGAATAAACGTAGGTTTACACGTTTGTACCAAATTTCATCAAAATCGGATCATTTTTGCTCGAGTTATCGTGCTAACGGACACATATATATATATATATATATATGAATTTGAACGGATGGTGTTTTTGGCCTCTAGGGACCTAAAAAAAAACAAAAAAATCGGTCCCGCGTCCAGGTCTTACCATGAGTACTACGGTAATAGCTTATTCCCTGTATGGGAAATTTGCCAAAAATGCTATATTAATTAAGGAACCATTCAATGCAAAAATTTTCTCTCAAGTCCATGAAATAGTTGAGATGTGACAAAACAAAATGTTAGCGGTTATTATATGGACCACCCGTTACAATAAATAAAATAGAAAATAAAAAAAACCTTTAATATCTCTTGAATCTAAGGTAGCTAATGAGTAGCCTGATTAAAAGTTTGATTTCGTAGTACAAGAGGTGATGTATAAAAAAGGAAGTGGAGTGAATTGGTAATCGCGGAGCACAAGGGATACATACAGGAATGAGAGCTAGTCGACATGAAACTTGAAAAGATTTTGCCTGACAAATTACAGCGTCTCAAGGATGTAGATGGAGGGGATTTTTTATATTCCAGATGAGCTGAAACCCCCTTGCAAGAATGGCCACGTGGGAGAGAGAAAATGGTTCTTACTGCGTTCTTCTGAAGCCTAAACGAGAAGAGTGTTCTTTGATTTTCAAGCAGCCGACACACTGAGCGCTAAAGCTGAGGTTCTGAGGATATTAGGGTTAGCACCCCAGCATCTGCTGGTGAGCTTCCTGATGATATTACTCGGTACAGATAATATGGCTGCAGATGCCCTGACTAGCGTATGTTCTTCAATCCAAATCAAGAAAAACTGTTGATTGATTTACATGCGAATCTATGTCACCCAGGTGTGACACGTTTGTACCACTGGGTTCGGAGTAAAAACTTGCCCTACTCGATTGATGAAATCAGACAAATAACAAACTCCTGCAATGTGAGTGCCGCTGTGAAGCCTAGATTCTTCAAACACAAAGGGATTTTGATTAAAGCCACTTCTGCATTTGAACGGCTGAATATCGATTTCAAAGGTCCGCTGCCTTCATCAAGTCGAAACCATTACTTATTAATTAGTAATAGTAGACGAGTTTTCACGGTTCTCTTTTGCTTTCCCGTGTTCAGACATGTCATCGTCAACAGTTAAGTTAGTCAAAACTAATACCGTACATTATTTTCCACTTTTGGGGTTCTTAGATACATACGTTCGGACAGAGGAACATCATTTCTGAGCCAAGACTTAAAAAGCTACTTGAACTCACTTTTGGAATCTCAACTAGTAGAACCAAAGGGTATGGCATTCTAAGGAAAACAATTGAAATCACTTAACTTAGAAATAAACCAATGGAAGACAGTTTTAGAGGATGCCCTCAGCTCAGTGAGATCATTACTTTGCACACCCACAAATCAAACTCCTCACGAGCGTATGTTCTTACATCCACGTAGATCTGGGAACAATGGTGTTTCAGCTCCTTCATGGCTTCTCAATTCCGGCCCTGTTTACTTGAAGAAATTCAATCGTACATCCAAGTATGAGCCACTTGTTGAAGAGGTCCAACTTCTTCACGGGAATGCTGAGTATGCTCATGTTAAGTTGCCTGATGGAAGAGAAACTACCGTGTCTACACGTCATCTTGCCCCGGTTGGTGAGTACCAAACCGACATAGAGCAAACCGATTTTGAGAGTGATGAAAATACTCTATTACCCACTTCTCAACCTGAACCTGAATACTTTCCTAGTCCATCATCAACACAGAATCAAGAAGATGAAATGAATACTACTGCCGAGAATTTACAACCTAGACAAGAAGCTTCTAGAGGAGAGAACCATAACACATATCAAAGAAGAAGTTTCAGAAGCAGAAGACCTCCTAATTATTTAAATGACTACGTTCATTAACATTAGGGAGGAAGAATGTAGTAAAAAAACATGTGTCTTCAATTCTTTTATTATTGTTTTCTTGTGTTTGTAAACAAATCCATTATAATTCAATGTTGTACGTTCAAGTTATTAAAAACTGTTCTAAAGGTGATAAAAGTTCATTCATTCTTACTCTCATTACAGTGGACCTCACAAAGAATAAGTAAATCGGTCCCGGGTCCAGGTCTTACCAAGAGACCTACGGTAATAGCTTATTCATATGGGAAATTTCCTAAAATTGAATGCTGTAAAAACATTTTAACTCTATCCAGTGTGTACAGTGTGTTTTAAAACACTTGCTTCCTTATTTAAAAACTGCAATAGAAAAAAATATGTAGGTTACAGGAATCATCTATTGACGTAGAGGCCACAAGTGTACCTTGCAATTTAAAATTTTTTAGTTAAAGGGGGAGAAATCGGGGTGAATGGGAACTTCACATTGAATTCACAATAATTGTGTCCTCTACGTCAATGATTCCTGCAAACTGCATATTTATATTTATTGCAGTTTTAACATAAATAAGGAAGCAAGTTAAAAAACACCCTGTATAACAAACCATCATGCCACACCTTATCAAATGTCTGGCTAACATCCAAATTGGTAAGTGACTCATATTTTTCTGTGAAAATCGTGCACATTCCTGCACTGGAAAATTTACAACTACACCACTGGATATAAACAATAAAATTCAATATAGGTGTGTCATGGTTTGAATAAAGCAAAGTTATTATATAATCTTGAACATTAACCAGTGTAATAGATTGTTAGTTGATAAATTGGAAAGTAATGCCATTATAATTGTCTAGAAGTACTAAAGATAGGAACCGGTTATTTTTAAAGAGTGATTCCATTTGGTTCACATTGAGTACATTGTGTCATGTTTTTTACCTTAGTTTCTGTTTTGTTATATGTTAGTTTCTCAACACAGGACTTGAATGGACCTAGAGCAGTGTCATCTTTAAAACTTGTGCTTGTGGTAAGAAGAAATTAATATAATATCTAGTTTTAAAACTGACTCTACTATTGAGTAATATGAAAATTAATTCATTATTTTTTATTGATGAACGCTACAACAACACCAAAGTGCCCAAGTTATAACTTCTTCTAGCCTTAACTATAAAAAGCTAAAAATATGCTGGTTTATTGGGGGTTTTCCCCATATCGACCCTACAATTCCTTATTTCAAAGTCTTATTCCCCTAAAACATAAGACTTTGAAATTTTTTTCCAAACCATGTTTTTTTTTTTTTTTTTTTTATAAGGGAGAGGAGGTAAAAATGCTTTTACGCACACAGGTAGCCAGCCTGTAGTGTGAGACTCCTGAGCTTGTCAGACTACTCACTAAAAAACCCCCTCTACTCTGTTGGACACAGACCTGGGATTGTTTGTCACATTACTTCAGGTCAGGTCAACGTGTGACCTAAGCCCTCAGGGCTCGCGCCGTTTCTGGCATTCAATTTCTTTATGACCTAGACTGCATCTCGGTCAAGCTCTAGCTTCTTTGTGCGGAGAATATCCTGGACGAAATGTGACATACAGGTCCAATTGTCCTCACCCTCCGTCATCATCGGAATGACCGTGTCCACCAACAACTGCCCTACATGTTGTTCAGCCTCCAGGCGGGAACCTTCCCAACGCTGGCAGCGGAAGAAGGTGTGCTCCGCGTCGTCGGGAGTGCCTGGGCAGTAGATGCAATCGGGTGACACGGCTTTGCCCATCCTGAACAGGTACGACCGAAAAAACCCGTGACCTGTCAGAAACTGGGTAAGGTAATAGTCCACCTCACCATACCGTCGGTCAACCCATGGTTGGACTTGCTGAATCAGTCTCCTGGTCCAGCGTCCCCGCGACTCCTGTTCCCAGCTCTCCTGCCAGAGCTGGTAGGTGCGGTTGCGCTCCTCCATTTTTGCATGGTCCTCTCCACGCCGCTGATAAATCGCTTTCCTCTCCGCCGCCAAAAGTTTGACGGGGATTACTCCAGCAACCACCAAGATGGCAGGTTCAGACACTGTTCGGTAGGCGGATACTACCCTGAGTGCTTTCCCAGCCGTATCCAACATGCAAAGGGGTCTGTAAGAGGACGGCAATTCTGGGTCTCCTTTCCCCTTCCCTACGAGCACGAGCCTAGCTTTTTTCCAGCACAACGGAAATACCCCCTCTGCTAGGCAGGCGTTGTACATGCTCAGAAGAATCAGGGGATTGATTGAAAAAACCTTCTTAAGAGCCTCGCCAGGTACCCCATCAGGTCCAGGAGCCTTGTTGTTTTTTAGGGATAAAACGGCAGTCTCCAGCTCCTCATGAGTGAAGAGTGGGACATCGTCCATCATCTCAAACTCACGCAGTGGGCGCAGAATATGATCCGGAAAAAGGGATTTGACGACCCTCTCCATAGCGGCCCCCTTCATGACGGAAGGTGGAGAGCGAGTGGTGAGTTTTTGGGTTACTAGTTTGTAACCCAGGCCCCACGGGTCGGAATCGACATCATCCCTTAGTGTTTTCCAGCAATTGTGTTTGCTCCGGTTGATGGCCCGGCGGAGAGACTTCCTCGCCACCTTGTAGCTCTCCAGCTTACGGCGTCTATCCAAGGGTGCCCTGGCCCTGGTAGCGAGTCGTCTAGCTCTCAAAGCAGCTCGGCGCAAATCCGCGATCTCTGCAGTCCACCAGTATACGGGTCTCCTATCGCAACGGAGTCTCTTGCGGGGCATTGACTCATCACAAGCCGAGGCAATCAGCCCCATCATCGATGTAACTATAGCCTCTGCATGAGCCATGCCAGGTGCGGCAGGCACCGCTGGCACTCCCCGCAGGATGGCCTCGGTGAATTTAGCCACGTCCAGTTTTTTGGTGTTCCACCGAACGGGCACTTCCCGAGATGCAGCAACTTGTCTCGGGATGCGATCTAAGACATTGAAAATAATGTATTGATGGTCGCTGGCCGTATAATCCTCCAAGACTCTCCAGGCTGTGATCCTTGGCAGAAGAGACTCAGATGCGAGGGTTATGTCTGGGATCGTTCCCCTCATCCCGGGTCGCCGGAACGTTGGCGTGTTGCCCTCGTTGATTACAACGAGTCCGGCCCTGGCAGCAAAGTCCAGGATGTACTTCCCCCGGGAATTAGTGAGGGTCAGTCCCCACTCGACGGCCCTAGCATTGAAATCACCAGCCACGACTACATGCCCTGTGGTGTCCTGCACGCTCTCTTCCAAGCGGTCCATCTTCTCGCGGAAGTCATGGATAGCCTCGTTAGGGGTGAGGTAGACACTGTAATAGGTGACGTCCTTGCACCGAACCCAAACAAATCCACGGCCCTTTCCATGACCCCGCACTTGCACTTGAGCTGTATTACGCACCCAGAAAGCAGCAGTACCAAGACTATCGGGGAACCAAAAGGGTGGGACCCTATTCCGGTACTGGTACTGCTCGCTGACCAAGAGCGCGTCGACACCGTGTTCGAGGGCAAGCTGACTGAGAAGCGCGTCAGCTGTCCTGGATCGCCCAAGATTACATTGGAGTATTCTTATTTTCGTGGGTGGGCTTTTGCTTGCTGAAGCGCAGTTTTAAAAGCGCTGCACTGCCCAGACCCAGCTACATGTTTGGTGTTTTTGTCCGCGAGCCCATTTTCCTTACAAAGAAAGCAAGATTCGACTTGGCAGTCCCTACGAGCGTGACCCACCCCTCCGCACCGGAGGCAGTGCTTGCCTCGGTCGGGCCCCTTGCAATTTCGGGAGGAATGACCGAAACCGAGGCACCTAAAACACCTGGTTACTTCCACCCTCCGTCTGAGCCTGCAGTTGACCCAACCGACCCTCAAATGCTGGAGTGCCAACACCTTACTAGCGTGTGCGTCTGCCATTTCGGCGACCGCCATCCGCTGCTGGTTTCTATTTGGTTTTGTGAGCCACACCCTAAGAACAGCCGATGTTCCGGCAAGCTCGGGGACTGCTTCCTTTAGGGCCTCAACCACCTCACTCTCTGTCGACACACCATCTATGTCCCGAACCTCAACTGACGTTTTAGGCTCGAGTGCACGGACGGTGCCCTGGCCTTCCACGGCTGCCTTCAGTTCAGCAGCAAAAGCGGATTTGTCCTTTGACTTACCCAGTTCAAGGAGGACGTCCCCGCCCCGGGTTTGCCTAATCGACCGCACAACCGTATCGGTCTGCTCCGGCTTAGCTTTAGCCTTTATTATACCCAAGACTTCAGCGAATGATCTCCCCCCTGAGGGCTTAACCAAGATTGCCTCCGTCCTGGGCTTTTTTGGCCGCGACCTTTTAAGAGCGGGGGCCAAACCGGGCCCAATTTGGGCAACGTTTGTCGTTTGTGCCTTTACCGCCACATTTTTCTTGGAGGTGACCTCCGCCCGCCTCTGCTGCCTCTTCTCCTTTCGGGTAAGACGCTTTTCCCATGCAGCCCCAGATGGTGTCTCAACAACTGATCCCTTACGGGAGCTTCCCCTAAGAGGGGTCACGGGTTGCTGAGGTTGTAGACGCTTTGTTGGGAAAGCAGCTACATCTGGGGAAGACCTGGGCCCGGCAGACAAAAGGTCTGTCTGGGTCGCCTTAGCCTTAACCTTAGCCCTTGTGGTCTGAACAGCCTCTTCCTTTTTTGGAGGGCTTTCCGTAGTGGATGGCCTTCTGCGTTTCTTGGAAGGCAGCGCCCTGTCGTCGGGCATAGACACTACCTTCTCCGCAATCTTCTCCATGGCCGCCTTGCTTACCAACCGGCAGGCAAAAACGAATCCAAGGTCATCTTCTAGCTTGGCCATGCCATTTTTGACCACTTGGTTAACAGCTTTCTGGGTCCGAAAGGTGTCCAGCATAGCTTTAATGGTCTCCTCCATGTCTCGAAGCCGGGTTTCGATGCTACTCTCTGCGTCAAGGTATTTCTGACGCAGAAGCACCATCCCTGAGCTCTCCGACTGCAACGTTGTTGTAAGGTGTTCCTCCAACAGCCCTTCACCAGACTTGAAAGCTGGCACCGGTGGAGGGGAGACAGTCGCTCCCTTTACCAGCGAAGGTGCCAACGATATATTTTCTGCCGTCAGAGGGGGTGACCTTGAAACACACCATCCCCTCTTAAACGCATTCTCCTCTGACTGCTTGCCAAGCAAGCCCTCCATGCTACCTGGGGTTGAAAAAGCCATAAAAATGTTTGCCAGCGCATCGTGCGGCAAGGGACGGCCCGGAATAACCAGGAACGGGTATACCCTCGGGGACGTAGCCCCTACCCCAGTTCCCTGGGGCCCGGTCTCCGTTTGCCTAGTACCGAGAATCCTGACGTACCGGGGGTCGCCCGTGGCAGTGCAGAGCCCGACCTCTGCACCCATGCCGCACTCCCTGACTAGGGCCCGAAGGGGCTGGTTCCTGACGACACACCAGAGAGGTCCCATCGGCAGTGCGAGGCACAAAACAGCCCTTTTGCACAGAAAGGGCACTCCCAAGGCTCAATAGTGCACGCCGGTCGAAAAAGAAGAAAGGAAAACACCCAAACCGGGGTTGAAAAAAAAGTGTAAAAAGGAAAGATGAAAGATTTCGAGGTACAAGCCAAAGGTAAGAAGCAAACTTGGCCTCAGAGAAAGTTGGGAGCATAAAGAGAAGGATCTCCCACCCCCTGTTAGTCGCCTTTTACGACAAGCCGAGGGAGGCTGCGGTCCTATTCTAACCCGGTACCGCACGGGGGTTTCCAAACCATGTTGTAGAGCTTAAAACAAAAATAAAACTTAGTACGGTTATTAAGGCCTTGTTGTACACTTAATGGTTCTGTAAAATATGCCTTAAAACTGTAAATGTAAAATTCCCATTTTATTCTTATGGAGAATAAGTTAACTGTTGTAGTTTGCATGTTTATAGAATATACTGATCAATTTTAATAATGTCATTATACATGGTACGGTATCATTAATGATTTGATCATGCAAAAGTTTTCTTTTTTTTAGAAAGTATCATAAATTAAGCCAAAGTTATTTCAACCCCCCTCTAAGAAGACACACAAATAAATAGTTAAATGATGGGTGTGTAAACTGTAGTAGACCATTATATTTACCTCAGGTAGGTATCAACTAAACTGTAAACACACAAATAAATAGTTAAATGATGGGTGTGTAAACTGTAGTAGACCATTATATTTACCTCAGGTAGGTATCAACTAAACTGTAAACACACAAATAAATAGTTAAATGATGGGTGTGTAAACTGTAGTAGACCATTATATTTACCTCAGAGGTATCAACTAAACTGTAAACACACAAATAAATAGTTAAATAAAGCATGGGTCAACTGTAGTAGACCATTATATTTACCTCATAGGTATCAACTAAGTTGTGTACCAACATCCAGTTAACACTTTTTATTTTCAAGGTAGCCAAACATGGGACGAAAGCACCAATGTACAGTTTTCCAAGTGACCCAAACTCTGACGTGAAGAAATGGCCAGATGGTGCTGGCCAGATAACTGCGGTAAGTAGAGCCTGGCCAGATGGTGCTAGGTGCTGGCCAGATTAATGCGTTAGGTAAAACCAGAAAATATCCCCAGCTGTCCTTTAACATTGGCATTTGGAAAAGGTATCATAGTTAGGGACTGTGCTCTTGGATAAACGACACAGCTGATTTTAGTCAGTAGGTAAGCTAAACCATAGACAAATAGAAAAAATATCGACCGTCAGCTGTGCTGCAGTTAGCATAAGTTCTGGCGTCCGCCACTAGGTTTGCCCTGTAGTTACGGCGCACACCGCTGCAGCGTCTGCTGGTCACATACGGCTCCTGCGCTCCTCGCCTGCAGCGCTGTGCGCCGTAATTACACGGCACTTCTAGCGTAGGGCGCCGGAATCTTCCTTTGACAGTCTATATTTATTCTATTTGTCTATGGCTAAACATACATAAAATCTATGTTCTTCGCCCCTCTTCGTTTGTATTTATTTACTAAATAAACAATTGTTATTAATAGTCCAGGAGCAAACTGCACATATCCAGCTTCCGTGGGATTTTTTGTGAAGCAAATGTGTGACTATGTGGAATCTCTTTATTATATGTCACATAATGGTGTAGTACCGGGTGTTTACCCTCAAATTGCGGGGTTTGGTTTTTATGACGTCGTAAATCCAAGATGGCCGCCATGTGTGACATCTATTCACTAAATTCATAGTAACTCTTTTCAGAGTAAAATAATCGAATTTTAATTCACACCATTGAATTCAGCTCAAAAAATCAAACAATTTGGTGCTTTGAATCATTGCTCTATGACCATTGGTTACCGAGATATTGAAGGCGGAAAACACAGAACATTGTCGCCATGTTTTCCTTATGGGGAAAAAAATAAAATTGTATATCTAGCTTATTACTCAGCATATCTTAATAATAATTGGTATGTGGCTTCATTTAGTAGAGATCTACTTGAATATGGCCTAAAATACCCCATTTTTACATTTCCTTGGCAGCAAACCTGCATACTAACTTCCAATGTTATTCTTATGGACAATTTTTTGCATGCTTGTTCATGAACATACTTTGAGAAATGATGATGTGTGGCTCCATTTTAATTATTTATTGAAGCATTTGTAATTCGTTGAGTATACAGGTCTGCTGCTACGGGTAGGTCTGCTATAAACAAATTATAGGTATTAGAAAATAAAATAAATTAGACTATAGTTGTGAGGCATATGTAATTTTGTAGGATTTTGAATTAAGCAATTAATTGTATGATTGTTGGCGATTGATAGGTAATGACATGTAGAACCGTGTACTACCGAGTATTTTGTCTGAAAATGTGGCCAAGCTGGTGTTTTCGGTCGCCATCTTGGATTCGCCATATTGGATGTTAATAACTTTTTTATACAATGCTAGTGTTGTGACATCATTATGAACTAAATTTTCACGCTGATTTCAATGCTGAAATATGTTTTTAAATATATTTTTTCGTTTTGAATATTCAAATAAAAACTATGATTGGTGGTGATAGATAGGTAGTGACATAGAATCGTGTACTACCGGGTGTTTTGTCTGAAAGTGTGGCTAAGCTGGTGTTTTTGGTCCGCCGTCTTGGATCTACCATATTGGACATTAATATAATTTTTTAAATGTAATGCTGGTGTTGTGACTCATCATTATAAACTATAGATGTTTACGCTAATTTCAATCCCGAAAACCGTTTGTAAATATCGTCTTTCGTTTCGAAAATATATTGAAATGAAAACTCCCCCCCCCCAATTCCGAAAACCGTTTGTAAATATCGTCTTTCGTTTCGAAAATATATTGAAATGAAAACTCCCCCCCCCCCATACATCTTTTACGGACGTTTCGTACTTTGATTATTTTTCTCATATATCCAGTTCTTATTATCGCTTGCAATTCGTTATAGTATTCAGTGATGTAAGGGCTTTTATTTAAGCTATCGATCATTAAAATCGGACGAGTTAGAGTTGAGCTATGAACCACAACACAATATTAAATCTAACTTTTTCCAAATCAGTTTTATGAAAAGATTTATATCTCGGTTTGTTAATACGGCAAAAGGTTCATTCTAGTCTTAAATTACTCAGTAAATGTCTGGTTTAAAATGTTATTAATCACTAAATGAAATCTGACTAATTGAAAATGAGTCATGGGCCTTTATTTAACATTAATAATTATTTTTATTTAGAAATTTTTCTTTGGTTAAAGCAATTAAAGACATACAGGGCTGGTCATCAGGGTTACAACATTTGTTTGGTGTAAGTACAAAGTAAATGATGTGTGATGAGGCATATAAGACTAAAAGGTGCCACGTCTAAAAATTGTAACACTGATGACTAGCCCTGTATGTCTTTAACCAAAGAAAGTTTTGGACATAAAAAAAATTTAATGTTAAATGATGGTTAATGACGCATTTTAAAATAACTTAGTCAGATTTCATTTAGTGATTAATAAAATGTTAAATCAAACATTAACCAAGTAATTTGAGACCAGGAAGAACTTAGTGACGTACTAATAACCCGAGATATACATCTTTTAATAACAACAGAACTTTTTTTTTTCTGAACTCCTGCATCAATCTTTGCATATTTCCAAACTTTCTTTTTATTGCATTGTTATTTATTTTTGTTAATATAATATATCCTGTTGTTATTGCATTGTTATATCTTGTTCTTGTACGGAGTTATCATATTGTTATTTTTCTGCAAGTTTTATCTGTTTTTTATGAAGTATGTTCTGCCTCTTTACTGAAGTTTCACTCGGCTACTGGCATCATTGTTATTGTTCCTATACTGGTTTTGTTTTTCGAATATCTCGTTTTGTCAACTTGTTCAGATAGTTTGTTATTTATAGTTGTTACTTATAGTTTGTTATTCATAGTTTGTTATTTATAGTTTGTTATTTATAGTTGTTACTTATAGTTTGTTATTCATAGTTTGTTATTTATAGTTGTTAATTATCTTTTTATGTCTTGTATTGAAGTCTTGTTTTCCAGTTTTTTTTCACTACTTTTGTACTGGCCTGTGATTTTTTCTGCTTCTTCCGTATGTAAGATTATTGTATTATTCATGTAAAAATGGTGCAACTGTTAACAAATAAATAAATAAAATAAAATAAACAGATTTGTAATAAGTTAAATTTAATATTGTGTTAGGGTTCGTAGCTCGACTCTAACGCTCTAACTCAACCAAATTTAAAGATCAATAGCTCAAATGAAAGCTCATACATCACTGAATATCTTAAGACTAGAACGATCTGCAAGCGTTAATAGGAACTGGAGATATAAGAAAAATAATCTTAAAAATGTTCAAAGTACGAAACGTCCGTAAGAAATGTAAGGGGGAGAGTTTTTATTTGAATATATCTTCCAAACGAAAAATATATTTAAAAACATATTTCAGCATTGAAATCAGCGTGAAAATTTAGTTCATAATGATGTGTCACAACACTAGCATTGTATAAAAAAGTTATTAACATCCAATATGGCGAATTAAAGATGGCGACCGAAAACACCAACAATTTTTTTTGTCTGAAATTAGCCACACTTTCAGACAAAATACTCGGTAGTACACGGTTCTACATGTCATTACCTATCAATCGCCAACAATCATACAATTGCTTAATTCAAAATCCTACAAAATTACATATGCCTCACAACTATAGTCTCATTTATTTTATTTTCTAATACCTACAATTTGTTTATAGCAGACCTACCCGTGGCAGCAGACCTGTATACTCAACGAATTACAAATGCTTCAATAAATAATTAAAATGGAGCCACACATCATCATTTCTCAAAGTATGTTCATGAACAAGCATGCAAAAAATTGTCCATAAGAATAACATTGGAAGTTAGTATGCAGGTTTGCTGCCACGGAAATGTAAAAATGGGGTATTTTAGGCCATATTCAAGTAGATCTCTCCTAAATGAAGCCACATACCAATTATTATTAAGATATGCTGAGTAATAAGCTAGATATACAATTTTATTTTTTTCCCCATAAGGAAAACATGGCGACAATGTTCTGTGTTTTCCGCCTTCAATATCTCGGTAACCAATGGTCATAGAGCAATGATTCAAAACACCAAATTGTTTGATTTTTTGAGCTGAATTCAATGGTGTGAATTAAAATTCGATTATTTTACTCTGAAAAGAGTTATTATGAATTTAGTGAATAGATGTCACACATGGCGGCCATCTTGGATTTACGACGTCATAAAAACCAAACCCCGCAATTTGAGGGTAAACACCCGGTACTACACCATTATGTGACATATAATAAAGAGATTCCACATAGTCAAACATTTGCTTCACAAAAAATCCCACGGAATACAGTTTGCCCCAAGACTATAAATAATATTGTCTTGAATAATAATAATATTTAGCTAAAACGTATGTAAAAACTGGATTGGTGTATTACCATTGAATCATTCATTTAAATTTTACTATCCAGTAAATAATACACCAAAGTTATTATTGAAGTACATTTAGTTAACACATCAGTGCTCAAGTCAAATAATCCTGCAAATATCAAAACATACAGACTTAAATTACAGTGCACATTCTTGCCACCTTCAGATATTTATTTTTTATCCTACTACTTTTGAGAGATTGACGGCCTCTTTCTTTTACAAATACTTTCCCAATTAGAATACGAAGACAAATATTTAACATCACAATTTGAAAAAAGTGCATAACTATGAAACTACCTTAAAAAAATGATGCTCTCATAGATATTGAATAATTCCCGTTAACAATTGAAAATACTTTTAAAATTGAACACGTTAAGTAGATGAAAAAGATTGAAAACCAACTTATGAAAATGTAGTTTGTAAATAAAGTGTGCTTTAATTCTCAAGTTTCTAGTTTCTTACCTCTTCTCACCAATATTTACACTCAATGATTTATATTTTTGCCCCAAAATCCAAGTTATAAAATCATACTAAATTGCATTAGGCTACCTCCCACATTTAGATTACCTTTTTCACCTGTAATTATTTTATATGTACTTAAAACAATTTCTCAGCTGTTAAACTTTCTTGGTTTTTCAGATCGGCAAGATGCAGCTGTTTAGGCTGGGCGAGTTGATACGGAAGTTGTACAACGGCTACATCAGTGAAATATACAAGAAGGAGCAGTTCCAGATTGAAGCAACAATGGTTGAGCGGACGATGATAAGTGGAGCGACTCTCGCCGCAGGATTGTGGCCTCCGCGACGACATCAGATGTGGCACGACACAATCTACTGGCAGCCGATACCCATCTACCCCAACTTCCTGGACAAGAGCTTGGTAATAGTTTAATCAGCATACTTCATTTTTGTTGTTCCGAATCGGTATAGACAATCAAAAAAGGTTAAATTACCTGTGTCCGCCGGTCGATCTAAATTACTACTTATGAAGGACACCATAGGATCGACCGGCAGACACAGGTAATCTAACCTTTTTTTATTAATAAGCTATATATTCACCAGCAAATGTTATGTCTGAAGAAAATTGAGATTTATCTCTGCAAATGTTGCTACTGGTTCAAGCCTCGAGAGTGTGAGACTTCTGTCGTAGTGACATGGCTTCAACTCTGGCTGATCAAAAATTGCTTTTATGTGATGATCCCAAAACCTGGTGGTTCAGGCCACAAATACACACCTAAACAATTTATATCTTGTTCCATTTCTTCTTTGGGATTAAAGAAATACAATTTTGTTGTGAAGTGGGCTGGTTACACATTGCACAATTGCTTCTAGGATCCACGGAAAAACTGAAAAACTTGTAACAAATTAAATTTTTCTGTTATGTGTGGGCTATTATTATTTTTTAACATTCAAATGAAGGTTAAAAAATTCTCACCTCAGCTCGATAAGCCTTCTCATTTTGTCAGGGCCGATTTACCGAATAGGCACGGTAGGCACGTGCCTAGGGTGTGAGGCAATTGGCTTTTTTGGGGGGCGCCAAAAATTTGAAAATAAAAAAAAAATTGTGGTAGTATTTGCATGATATCACGGTAAACTTCTAATAACCACTCGCGGCCGTGTAGGCATCGTAATCGTCTCCCGCGTTTGCGGCTTTGATTCTTACTATTTTCTGCAGTCAGGTCGTTTGGACATAAAATTATCGTCTTCCATGATCGAGGCAATATAAGAACGTATCCCACAGTCGTGAGGAGATTATTATCATCAACCGCAAATGAGGCAAAATTCTGATATTTTCCCGCGGTCGTGAGGACATTATCGCGGTCAAATTCTGACTACCCCCGCGGCCGTGAAGACATCATATCGTCCCCGTCGGTCGTTTGGACATAGTAGTCGCCTCCCGCGATTGTCTTCCGTGATCGCGGCAATATTTGATCATCCCTCGTGGCCGTGTAGAAATATTATATCTCCCGCGGTCCTGTAGATATCGTACGTATCCCGCAGTCGTGAATCCATGGTAATCGTCTCCAGCGATTGCGGCAAAATTGTAATCATGTCCTGCAGTTTTGTGGAGATCATCATCGTCTTCCGCGATCGCGGCAAAGTTCTTGAGGTTTCCCGCGGTCGTGTGGACACCAATCGTCTTCCGTGATTGTGGTAATATTCTGATCATCCGTTGCGGCTCTGTAGATAGTAGATAACATCATCGTCTTCTGCGATCGCGGAAAATTCTGATCATCCCTCGCGGCCGTGTGTAGACATTTATCATTGTCTCCCGCGGTCACGGAAACGTCACTGTTGTCATGCGCGATCACGGAAACGTCACTGTTGTCATGAGCGATCACGGTAAATTGAAAACTCCAGGTAGAAATACAAAATTCACGGTTCAAAGATCTCCCGCATGATTCCCGGATTTCCCGGTCGGTGTACACCCTGTTATATATATATTGCAAAGGGGCGCTACTATTAGACGTGCCTAGGGCGCTGACAGGGTCAAAAACGGGCCTGCATTTTGTACTGAGTTGAGATAGAACTAGTTTACAAGCTGATCTCAATCTTGAACAAAGCTTTTCGAATGAGTATATCATTTATTTGTTCTTAACCATCCCATTGATGAGGAAACAACTGTCGCAGAAATATTTTATTATGTCAAATTTTTCAGTGACCAATCCTTAGCCTTAACCTCAACCTGACATTCCTATTTTGAGACAGAAGGTTAATCAAACAAAATAAACGGGATAGCTTGCATTTTATACACAATTATAATTACCATTCTCAAAATATAAAATGTCACATAAACCAAGATATGTTAATTCTGAACCGATTTCAAAGTAAACAATGAACTAAAACAACCATTTCCAGCTGGCTCTCACACCGTCCATGTGTCCCAGATATTACAGGGAGCAGAATGAAACTGTGAGAGTATTCAATGAAAGAGATCCTCAGTACAAAGACATCTTCGATCTCATGACTGTCAACACTGGAGCCAATATCACCACGTGTTCTCAAATGTATATGGTCTGGGAAGTTCTGTCATCACAGGTAAATCCTTTATTTATTTAGCGATTCCTATCTATTTTGTTTTGTTCCAAAAGTGCTTAAACTCTTATGGTTTGGGGGAAAACGTCTAAATATCAAATAGGCCTAGTAACTACATCCATAAAGTTTCTGTTTACTTTAAAATTTATTCCTAAAAATGTATGCTACTAAAGGCTAGAACTTAAAATAAAACAAGGATTGTAGAGTAGTCCCTTCAATAAGTTATGTATTTATCAATTATTTTCTCTACATGCAAATTGAAAAATAGTAAAATAACCATCAATTTATTTCTGTGGTTTAGACAGAGGAGTATCCAAAAGTTTATTTTTGCTTTTAAACTAGATTATTATACTGAATGTAGAAATAACAACAGTTGCTAGCCAGATAAGAGTACAATCTCTTGCTGTCCTAAATTATAAAATTCTAGGTGCCATTGCTCTGTTTCAGCTTGAGAACAACATGCCCATACCTCACTGGTCAAAAGAAATATTCCCAGAAAAGTTGCTGCCTATCATTAGCCGAATTTATAGAATGGCAACTATTAGAAACTTGAAGATGACACGACTTGTCAATGGTATGTGTAACAAACAGTAGATATAAGTAAAAAATATTTTTTTAAATTTTTGAGAAAGAAAATCTTATAATTATTGTTCTCTTTGCCTTATTAGGCCTTTTTACCTTGCTGTGTGCTCTGTGTCTCAAGGTAAACTCCAGAAGGTGCTTTCTTCTAGCCACTCACTGGTGATCAGCTACTGAATCTTTATGTTGCATAAAATTTCTAGAAGTTTGCAATAAGTGTCACTTTTTCGCTTTTTGATCTTGTAGACCTACTATAACATTTACAATTATAAAGAGATCTTTGTCAAAATACCAACCTTACCTGAATTATAATGGAAAAATCCTGTTATCACAGTAATCTTTAAACAAAACTCTTGTGATCTTATACTGGTATCACTATCATCAATCATGAGAAATATATCTGTCTGTAACAATATGTCATTGTAACAATATGTATTATTTGTATCCAGTGCTCGATTTGTAAAAAATGAGGTGCCGGAACTATTTACCTAACATGATTAGTACCCATTTATGCCAATATTTTTTTTCTTTCTGAAAGAGAGGTACCGAAACCCTGTTCAGCCGCATTCCCCCTTAAATCAAACATTGTTTGTATCTGACAATATCACCTACCCTGAGTTTTTAGTTTAACTTAAACAATTCACCACGTTTCCTGCATTCTACTAGGTCTCTTCCTGGAGTACATGATGGAGATGATGGCCCTCAAGAAGAACAACAGTTCTCCAGATGTGAGGATGTACGTCCACGTCGGCCATGATGTGACACTGTTGTCACTCGTCATGGCTCTCGGCTTCCCAGAGCCTCTTGTGATGCCGTCAGGTGCTGCACTCTTCTACGAGTTACACATCAACCCAGCAACTTCCAGCGGTTGGGAAGTCAAGGTAAGTTATAAATTTGCTTTGATAAAGTCGAACTTTGATTCTTAGAAGGATTCTCAATTTTGTTTCTTTCAAAGTATTATGTTTATGAGTAAAGCTTACTTTTCTTTAATCCCAATCACGCTTCCTTGAGATTATGATGGTTGAAATTGATAATTTATTTACTAAATCAGTATATTAGATAAGTGGATTTTTATAGGCATGCACTATAGATTCGATACTTCCTGGTATGGATTAACGTCCGCACTAGTGAGTACTACGACTATCCGCAGTACTATCCTGATAATTAGACTAATTTGTTAATGTTAATACCAAGGCAAAAATGTGGTTCGTATTCCACTATAACTGTAGGTCCCTTAGTTGCCATTAGTTGTATAGGCTATTAATTAACAGTTGTGTCTAAGGAATATGTCGGCCTTAGTCACTAACAAGACTACAAGATTGCGCCACCCATCTCCATTCATACTTGGCTTAAAATACCTACCTTGTATGGTCGCCATTTTAATGAAAAGTATTAAGTATTAAAAGAATGCAAGTAAGATAGGTGTCTTTCAATTCAACCCAATTATGAATTGATGAATGGATATAAATGTGTAGCTATGTAGTAAATTAGATACTTCTTTTTGGTAAGTACTATAACTTAAACCTGTTCTGTGGTTTGACAGCCCAATCCAGGATATCAGGAACTGACGGTTTGATCTATAGGAATGGAGTTTTTAAAGATAAGATTTATATCACTAACATAAAAAGGCGAGTATAATATGGCGAATATGAGTGAAGATGAGAGTTGAGCGTAAGTTCAAAGGGTTCATAAAAAATCATCAACAATGAATTGAATGATTCACTGTTTTAGCAGTCCATGAAACTCAAACTTTGATATTGGGCTATTTAACTTATTGCTACAAAAATTGGGTGGTTAAAGAACAGTTGTACTTGTATTAAAATATGGCTGACATTGCACGTCTTAATTTATTTTCAGGTTCTCAGGGTGAATAATAATCACGAAGGTCCTACGCATCCAGAAGTCTTGGAACTTCCCCACTGTCCATACCCTTGTGATTACAACCTTTTTCACAAGAACTCTGCCAGGTTCATACCAGAGAACTGGTCCAAGGAATGTCACGACTTAGATTCACCTAGTGATGAGCCACCTGGCAAACAGAGGAAATAAACTGGTTCTCGTATTTAATGTTTACTTGATCATGATACCAAAACTTCCCCTGCTCTAGCTGTTAAATAGCTTTTATAAGAATTGTAACTTTTAATTTTTAAATAAGAGTTCAGTTAGACCAGAATATTATAGCCCAGAGTCTTACGGATACATAGTAAACGGTTACACAATATAGCATTTATTTATTTTTTTAGGACCCACTCTCACATTCTAGGACACTAGTTCTAGTTCGGAACTGTTTAACACATTACTTCAGACTAGTACTAGTGGGTTGCGGCATTATCACATAGATAAAATCCATTGGTGGTTGGCGGGATTTGAACCCGGAACCTCGGGCACCGAAGCCCCACCACGCTTTACATTATACCAGCTCCCATACGTTGTAGGTCTGAAGTAGCTGTTTTTGTAAAAATCAGCTGTTGTAAACTTCGATTGTAAGCATTCGCATGTATCAAAATTATGTACCGGTATCAATTATTATTTTTATTGGTTTTTGGGTTATTTTGTTGTCACAACAAAGTCACAAGATTTCATATAGGTACTTATTTAAGATCTTATTTACTTTTGTCATGTAAATGTTGCTATGATGGAATATGACATTCCCTTTCACATTTTTCTGGTGTCCATCTTTCGTAGGCTTCAAAGAATTTATCGAAGGTACAAAGAGAAGGGCAATCACGCAGATGAAGCACTCTTGTCAATAGTTTGACATATCAATCTTATAATGTAGACCTAAACTAACACAATCATAATTTAAAAAAATGAATGAATCACTTAAAACAACAAATTTTTTGCATTCACAAAATTTAAACAAGTTTGAAGTTGTTCTAAGAGGTTGTCTTTACATGAAAATTAGTTTATGTTTTCTAACTTGCTTAAACAATGGTGCAATATGACAAATAGTTCAATACACAGGCAAAAAGTGTCTTTTAACCCTCGCTCATTTTCATTTGTGAAACTTGAGCTTGGATAAAAAAGTCACTTTACAGTAATGAAATATACTTTTATTTGTCCATACAGAAATTGGAAATTTCTAATTGTTTAATACTGTGTAGTCTTGTGTGTATATTTCTTTGGGCTGTAACCGCTATGGTGTAAGATTACCACTTGAGGAGTATGATAAATTACTAAAATTACTACTAACCATGAAATTATGATTTATACTTGAGCCAGGCTTGTGTTAACATAAGGTGACAATCTATGCAGTTTTCCATGGTTATACTTCCTTACATATACACAAGAAGGGAAGGGGATGTTTTAGGAGTATAATGGACAGTAAAACAAAGTCACAAGATTTCATATAGGTACTTATTTAAGATCTTATTTACTTTTGTCATGTAAATGTTGCTATGATGGAATATGACATTCCCTTTCCCATTTTTCTGGTGTCCATCTTTCGTAGGCTTCAAAGAATTTATCGAAGGTACAAGGAGAAGGGCAATCACGCAGATGAAGCACCTCTCTAAATGCTGATCGATTATTGCGCTGAAGTGAGTGGTAGTAGACAACCTGTTGAAGCAAAAGAGTAAGAAAGTTTAGGGTTGTGTGTGAAGATTAACCGGTATCCACACTCCGGTCCACACTAAGGCATAAGTATACAGACACTCAAAATATTTTTGAGTACCAAGGTGTTAAAGTGTCCAATTTCTTGTCTGCCTTCATCAAAAACCTGTGTGTTTTAAAATTCAAACATATCTTAAAAACTACTCTAACCCCGGCTTGCCTGTTCAAACTTGAAGAGTACTTTGGTTTAGAGTTTTAGTTATTTTAGTTTTACTGCCAGAGCCATCTTGATTGTTTTTTTTTCTTTTGACAATTTGTCATGAACTTTGTACCTATTTTTAACGACAATAAATAATTCATTTCTTTAACTTAAAATAAACTGTATCAGCAATCTGACACATACTTTCTCCGATTAGCATGAAAGATTCACACACAGACATCACTTCAAAAATCACTTTTTTGAGTTCAGTCCCCCAAATAAATGTATTTACCCAAAACATAAACTCAAATTTTTGACAAAAACAATATTTCTTCCACTATGTATAGGGGGGGGGGAAGTAAAGTACTATAGTTTACTATTAGTGATTCACATTCTATCTCTATTACCGAACGACATCAATTTTTCAACCCGTCGAAACAAGATTTAAGTCAAGAACACATATGGAGATTCTAAACTAGGTATATTCTAAACTAGGTCTACTTCTTTCTTTTTTTGCTAATTTCTCTAAGGTTATTTCAAACAAAGTCACTAATGACAGATAAAAATTGCTTCACTTTATCTATCTTCGGACTGGTAAAAGACTAAAAAGAACTGTAGTACTGTCAAAATGCTATTTTTATCTTTTTATCCTGTTGGTTTCAAACCTAAAGCTCAAGGACCTATGATGCACATGGGTGCAATTACGGGTGGCAGTCTTCCTTCTGCGCTTCCGTGGCTGGAGTTCAAACTGGAACATGAACGAAGGGACTTCGCCGCAGCAGGGTTCGGTGCTAAGAACATTAGAAACTCTGACACCGTTGAGAAATCCTATACACTGAGCAACACCAATTTCAAAGCTGGATACCAAGTTTCAAATAATCATGACTCTTAACATTACCCACGCTCTACTGGCAACACCTCAGTCATTATTATCATTAATCAAACATTTTTGTTTCATATTTTTGTATTTGTTTATCTATTTATAACAACCTTTTAAAATGGCATGAATGAAGAGGTCATTAACTTTGCGTTCAGCTTAAAAATGAAATTTGGTTTGAAACCTTTAGATGCCCAAAAGGAAACACTTGACATCACTCAACATGGCTACAGCAATTTTCAACCTTATGTGTTAAACATGATCCAGAGGATGAAAATGTTTAAACTGTATCTTTGGTCTGTTTTGGCCACATGAGGAAAAAATTGACCAATGCTGATTGGGGTAGTAAGTCTAACAAAAAGCTATATAAACTTCACTCTCCAAATTAGATTTAGGCAAAGAAACACTGTGACATCTCTGTTATCCTAATCATCAGTGAAATATGTTAGCGTTATCCATATACCATATTTTAATTTGTTTTATCTCTGATTTTCACCTTAAAATAACAGCAAATAAAATAACTCACTTGAACAGTAAACACTCCATTTTCTTCATGAAGCTCAAAAGCCATTCCATCCCCAGCTTGAACTTCAAAACCAGGATCATCAAACCCGAGGGCCCAGCGTAGCGTGAGGATAGTGTCGTCGTGTGTGTTGTGGTACCTGAATAGTTCTTCAGTTTTTCCAGCCTTTTTCAATTCAAACTGGTTGTATATACTGTTGAATAAAGGACCTGAAAATGTAAGCACGTCAAATCAATATAGTTTCTGATATTGACATTATCGATGGGTGTGAATACAAAACATAAATGTCTATGTATTAGTATAGTCAATGGTATTAGTTATTATTGTAAAACTGTTGGACATTTTTATTTTATGTTTTAAACATACAGTAAAAAATTACTTTACCATCTAAAGATTTTGTGTAAATTGTTTAGTGACAGTGACATATGTAGTGCCCCCGGTCGGAATTCCACACTCGCGCCATGAACTGTCCCGAATTTAAATAAGTGTAAATAAAATAGGATAGTGGGTTTTTAGTGACTAAGTGATAGTGATGTGAGAAGAAACAAGAAACAGCTCCCCTTGTGGTGAAATGTACATAGAGCGTTAACTTATAAATTCATCAAGAACCTGGCAATCAAAAGGTAAACAAGGGAACAAGCCATTTTACTGAAGGTCTTGTGGTGAGATACAGACCCGGGACTAATTGACTTTTTTGTTTTAATGTCCCCAACAAAACATCATTCATACCAATATGAATGTGTGTCAGTGAGCATAGTAAATCAAGTACTTAATAATAATCATCCCATTTTTATAGTACAAACTTGTGAACTTATTTTTATCAAAATGAGTATATGAATCTGCATAATCAGACTGTGAGAACAGGGTTTTACGGGGTACAAATTGGTTTCCCTGTTTTTGGCCCTTAAAACATAAAATTTTACAATTTATTTCCAAATTATTTTAAGAGCTTAAAAAACAGATAGTTGAGGATATTGAAGTTAAGTTGCACTACTGTTATTGTATAAGGGGGAAAAAACTGAACATTTAAAATTCCTATGTGATTTTTATCGAGTATAAGTAGAATAACAAAAATTAGCATGAATATATTGATCACATTCCCTATCAACAAGCATGGTTGGGCCAACGTTGGGAATTGGTTGGCATGGTTGGCAAATGGTGGGTGGGTTTGCCAACAAACTGCCAACGTTAGCCCAACGCAGTATTTGTGTTGTTGGCCCAACACTTGTAATTTCGTTGGGCCATTGTTGGGGAATTGTCGTGGTATTCCACCCACAATGCACCACGATGGGCCTTCGCTCTAGCCAGCCAAGCCAAGCCAGCAGTGTTTCCATTTGAGGGATAAAAATCCCTTTCTAGGGATATTTAGGGCCTTCGAGGGATTGAAAAGGGATTGAGGGATAACTAGGGATAATCAGAGAAATTGAAGGATTTTTTAGATTTTCTAGGGATTTCAGGCCTTTGACTTTATAAAATTGAAATATTGATAAAATAATACATTTTGGCTGTAATTCAACAACGTCAAGGACCTATTTTGGCTAATTTTGCAAGGTATTGACACCGTAACGCATTGATTATACTACTTTTTCCCCAGATTTTGGTAACAAATTGATTGTAGAAGATACTCCTCAAGGAGTATGTTTTATCTATGGTTGTAGCATAGACTAACCGTTTTATCTATGGTTGTAGGTAGTGGTAGTGACGTAGTGTTTCAAAGTCGGAACAGACAAGGGGAAGAGCCAACACTGCACGAAACAAGCGAAGGACAAGTCGGTCGGTGGAATGTAATGGCGGATCTAGATTACTGTATTTGTTTCTTAGTAGCCCTGTGCTATGTGTCAAAAATGTCTAATGTTTGTTTTCGTTTTGATTTTGTTTGCCGGTGATTTCTATGATTTTTTTGGTTAAAGTAACTTGGTGTAACCTTTTCACCAAGGCATGGTGGCCATGTTTGAAAAAGACTAAGTTTGAAATTTGGACACTTGAGTAACATTTTTGAAACAATTGTAATTACTTATAAATAAAAATTATTAGTTTATAAAATGTCAAAAATAACTAATTGTTTCATTTTTTTAGTTAATTTATCTTGTTTTGTACCACATAGGCATTTTTTAATCACGGCTACCTTTAATTCCAGGCCGGAGGCCGCGGCCTTCGAAGTGGAAACGTTGCAAGTATAGTGTTGTAAAAGGTGTTTGTTTGGAGAACGCTAAGCTAATGATATTTATGTATTTTTTATAATAAATACGAAAGCTTGGTTACTGGGCTATGAAAATATTGACTCCACATTGAATGTATAGAAATAGATTTTCAATTTATATTGTTTTGGTTTTCGATTCTACATTATGTTTTATTTCCATGTTAACTTATGGGACGTCTGGAGCTAAACAATACTACGGTACTAGCAACGTTGCCAATTCTATCAGGCCGCGGCCTGCCTGGAGTTAAAGATGGCCGTGGATTTAATGGTGCAAAAATGTTTTTTTATATAGTATTACTTTATAAATAATATGGGATATTGAAGAATAATACCACCAGTTACCATATTTTAGCTGGCTATACATGATATCCATTGGTATTGCTGCAAAAATAATAAGTTATCTAGATTTGATGAAGAGGGATAATTGGAGGGATTATTAAAACACGGACTAGGGATAGCTAGGGATTTTTTGACGTTGACCCAGGGATATTTTTTTCTTGCGGATGGAAACACTGCAAGCCAGGCAGAGAGAGGAGGGACTGAGGGAGTAGCCATCTTGGAATCTTGGATTTTGTTTTGATATTTGATTATTATTCATTCGATTTTACTCGTGTCGGTCGTGTCAGTGTATTAAGTTAAGTTATTTTATGTTCTATTTGTGTCACTGCTAATGTTTTTCATCTTATAATTTACGAACGATAAAATCCTCAACTTTTCACTAACGAGGTAAGATGATTTTTTATAACTAGCCTAGTTAAGGTCTAACAACAACAACATAAACTTAGGTACCGGTAGGCTTATTATTTATCTTAAGAGTTATAACAAGGCAGAGTTAATGTTGCCTTGGTATTAAGTAGGTACGTAAGTTGATAAGATGTCTTGCTTTGGGGTTTTTTTTGGAATGAATCAATGTTGTTGAATACAAGATTAAGTTAGGCCTATTCATACCTTTGAAGGTAGCCTAGAGAATAAAGTTATTTAAAGCCGCGTTGGGTACAGTTTCTTAACTGGGCTATGCTAATATTGATTGAAACTATCGAATTGAAAAAATATTGATTAATAATCAATATTTTTAAATAGGCTATATCTATTATAAAATAAAACTATCATAACCTAACCTAACCAACCACACTTGCTGATCGTTAAAAATCGCATGTAGGTTTACTAATCGGATCGATAGTTTCAATCGATATTAGCATAGCCCAGTTAAGAAACTGTACCCGCGGCGTTTACACCGGAGCTTGGAACAACATGTTTGGAACTTTTTGTTGGTAGTCCTAGGCCTAATAGCTTACTTGTTTCTAAAAATAAGTAGGCCTATAAGTTAACTTACTAACTTACAGAACAATATTAAACTAGCCTATTGAAAATTAAAAAGTTACAGAAGCATTTGTTCCAAAATAATCTATTGAGTATTGAGTCTACATGAGTGTGGTTTTTTTTTTTTTTTTTAAGTTTTCCTTTTTGCTTTTTCTCTGCTTTGTTAATTTTTATATTTTTTTCTCCGCTGCATGTTTTACAGTTTTGTTTTGCAGTTTTTTTATTTATTTATCTATTATGCATGGTGTGCTCTTTGGACATTGTTTTGTGAATCAAGAGGAATGCATCTCTGTTTTGTATTTTAGTTTAGTGTTAGTGACTTGGCCAATTGTTATAAACTGAACGGCTCAATAAATCTTGAATCTTGAATCTTGAAAAATAATTTTGTCCTTTTGTTTGTAACACCCCTCGGTCTCAACCCACTTCTTGTGGGAAACAAATTTTCTGTTGTGTCTTAAACACTAAACCACTGTTTCCAACATCAAAATGTTTCTGTTCAAAAAGTTGTGTTCCTTCTTGATTTGTTATCACACTTCCTTCCTAATTCAGGTGTAAACGCGGCTTATAACTTACTTAGGCCTAGACTTCCGTACATCTGTTGTCAAAAAATAACCGAATGGAAATATCGATCGATATATCAATTAGGGTTAAGGTTTTGTTAAGTTAGTTACTCAATGAACTTGCAAGAATCGTCAAATAGGTCCAAGCTTACTTAAGTTACTTAATAGGCTTGGTTAAGTTTACCAGTGGAAAAAAATGTTTAATTGTCCAAGCTTGCATTGATTTTTAGTCTAAAATTACATTGTTAATTTTCTTAACCCATCACTTAAGTTATAGGCCTAGGCCTACACGTAAATAATTTAGGCTACTCTGGTTTGTCCGTGACCTAACTTACATTTGATTTGTACTTAAGTTAGAGTAGGCTCTTAGGCCTACCGATATGGCAACTCTAGGCCTATCTAAGTAACCTAGCTTATAGGCTACGCTAAACTTAGCTTTAAAATATGCAGGCACAACTTAAACTTACTTAAGATTTTAAGTTAAGGTTTTCCTTCACAGTTTGATCGGCATAAATTAAGTTATTTGACTTCCCTCTTTATAAATATAGCCTAATGTTTACTTTTTACCCTTTGTCTAAGTTAGATTTGTAAACTTAATTAATCCCCTTTGGCTTTAACTAACATCCCTCACTGTCCCTATCTAGGCTAACTTTAAGGCTGCTAACTTAAAGTGATGTGACGAGTCAAGTACTTTTCTGACTCAAGTCAAACTCAACTAACTTAGAATCAGACCTCTAGTTTCTCGTTTGAGTGGACTCGTGGTTAAATCGAGTTGTCAAATGAGTCAGGCTCAGGCTCAACTTTGACCAAAATGGAGTGTTAACGTAGTTTCCTAAGTTGAACTCGTTTAAGTTAGAGACACATTGATGTGTATTAAATTTTTGAGTCAAGTCGGCTAGTTTTGTATCAGTCTGGTAATCTCAACTTAGGTTAGGCCTATGATAGTTTCACGATTCTGACTCGTTTTCAACAAATTACATGCTGTCAACTGGGGCTACTTTGTACAAATTTTTCTGAATTTTTTTCCTGCAGCAACTTTTTCATTTGATCAGACTTCAACATCGACAACGTCTCATGGAAATGGAGTCCTGACTTCGACATGTATGGTTACCTTTAATTTTTATATTGC